AGTGAGAAAAGGAGTAAAGAATGATAACGTGTGGAAGTCCTTAGGCTAGCACAGACATTAAGAAGTGGTCAGGCATGGTGGCTGCCTGCCCTGGGGCCTCTTCAGCACAGACCACAAGGACTCCCCATTAGAGCTGGAAGACCTCAACTGACCTCCTGGTTCCCACAACAACCACTCTACAGCAAAAATCTTGCTGGCATCAGCTTCCTAGGTTGAGGAAAAGGGAGGTGTTTTAACCACTAAACGAGTCCACCAAGATTCTTCTCCCCCAGCCTTCCAGACTTTCACTGCTACCACAATAGTGGCTTCATGGGCAATGCTGTTGGAACAAATGGGCGACACTTTCAGTTCAGGTATGCCAAATCCCTCCAACTCAACTCAAGCAGGCTCTGAGGCTTCAGAACTCCTAATCAGTGGCAGCAGCAAGACTTCTCACACAGTGACTAATCAACAAAGGGAACATGGGGAAGTGCAGTACTCCCAGGGTTCTTATCCTCCTTTCCATGGATCTTTAATGGGGGCATCCCTACCCCCCAATATTTGCTCCTGGATCACTAACAAGGTCATTCAGGATGTGCAGGAGGGGCTTCAGAAAAGAAGGGAAGAAAAATGGAAGTTCAGGCACACAGGCTATTTTCCCTTGTCATCTTTGTACTCTCCCTCCTCTCCCTGAAAGATTCAAAAGGAGCTTAAGGGCCTATTGCAGGCACTCCTCTGATGAACTATTTTCCAGGTTCCCAGCATGCTACCATTACTCTGAGCTCCTTCAGATGCAAAAAGGTGTGAAACCTTCCTCCTCCTCCATGGCCTGCGTGTAGCTCCACACTGCTTCCTCTGGCCATTTGGATTCTTATCACTCAGAATCAGACTGAAATGTTATGCATTCTGATCAGATATAAAGGAAGGGGAATTATTGGGTGAAGAAACCTCTAGTACAGTACCAGCCATCAGAAGGCTCTTCCAGCAAGAGGATTTCTCTCGTCTTCTAGCAAAGGAGTTTTAGGAATTTTAGCAGGGCTGAAATTCCGTACTGAGACGACAGCTCTTCCAACTAGGAAGATTGCAAGGTCTTTCACCAACCATCCATTGTGCCCTTTCCCGATTTATTGGAGGAAGCTCTGAGGGGTGAGTGGGCTATGCCCCAAAGAGGCAAGAGCCTACACTCAGTAGTAAAGAATACAAAATAATCTCCTCAGGAAAGCTCCTCCATTGGCATGTTCACAGCCTGGGGAACGCCTACAAGATAATGACTCAGCCTTACCCCACCTTCGGGAGTAGATATAAATTACCTGCCTACCATTTTCTTCTCACCTTGACACAGAGAGTACTCCATCTTTCTGTGTTATACCACTGAGGATGCCAGTCACAGTTACTGGTGAAACGTCAGGTTCTACAATGCCAAGACCACAGCCACACAACCCGGAAAATCTACAGCAACTAATGTTTACTCCCTTCATAAAGACCCTTCAATTTCCTTTCGTGTATGCCCTAGGAACTGCCCTTCTTTCAGATGCAGTACTGTGCAAAGATAGAGACAATGTACTCGGACCCAGTGAGCTGGGGGGGGGGGAAAGCTCTCCCTCAAGAAGGTGCACAAAGCCTTAACGCTCGCCATCAAGGCCAGCTAATCTGGTTTAGTCTTTTCTAGAGCAGAAGTTCTTTGGGCAGAGGAGCTCCTGCAGAACCTGAATCCAGACCTGGTAAGACTGAGACAAGCTGTGCTAAAAATCAAGGGAGCCTCAGCTTTCATGGCTGATGCCAGGTTGGATGCCATGCAGTTTTCTGGAAAATCCCTCACAGCCAACATCCTAATTCAGCATGATCTATGACTGAAGCACTGGAAGGTAGATCACCTGTCCAAAAAAACACAACAAGCCTCACCTTTGTGTCCTTCCAAGGAGAAAAAAAATAGGGGATGCAGCCCGAGATAAGGTCTTAATTGAGACAAGAGGCAAAAAGAAGGCTATGCCCTCATTTTCCAAAAGAGAGGAAAACAAGGCAAACTGACCTACACAGAGCTCCTACCACTCCTTTCACAGCTGCTATAGTATGATTCCAGAAGCCCTCCTGGAACAAATGAAGATTTTCCCCAAGGCAAATGATGGTTCTCAAACCAACCAGGTCACCTCCAAGCCTTTGCTCCAGTCAGGAGACTGCTCACATCATCAAAATACAAAATAGAATTTCTGCATCATCCACGGGACAGGTTCCTCCCCTCTTCCATGTCCCAGTGGAACCAAAACCTACCCCCCACACACACTCATACACAACACTTCTTTCCCTGTTGGGAGCTACACAAGGTCCCGCAGGAATTACACCAGTTTCTTTTTTAATTGCTCAGATCTGTACCCCCCTAAGTCCTATCTTTCACGGTAGCCTTCTGTGACCTCTTCACTCGCAGACCCTACCACCTTCCACAGCCTCTTGTCACACAAGTTCAGGGCTACGGGTAGGTCAGATAGTCACAGTTTGCCATCTGTCTTGCCTCTTCTAAATATATAGACAGTTGCATGTGAGGTTCCCTCTCTCTCAGTCCCAGAGACATCACCTGAGGGGGTAGCCCAGTCCCCTTTAACAATCACTCCTCAGTGAGACACTGCCAACTCAAATGCTGCTTCAGTCACATTTATTCATATCCAAATCTATATGGATAGAGACAGGCCAAGATCTTATATGTGTGTTTATTTCCCTAAGACGATACACTTGGCTAAACAAACAAGGAGTTAACTGTTATTTATGGCTTAAACACAACTGGAGTGATTCAGATGTGTTTAAGCCATAAACTATCTGGAGTGATTCAGATAGTTGATTACAGAGTTTCTCCACACTTGAACTTTTGAACCATAGCTCTAGTCAGGCATTCCGGATTCTTTGTTGCAAGTTGTCTTTCTCCCAGCTGGTGTCAGGCTGCTATCCTGCCACTCACTGGCTTAAGCTTCCAGCTTGTTACCAGCCAGTTCTAGCTTTCCCTTTAACTGAACTAACGACTTCAACTATCAGCTTTTCACTAGCATTCTGTCAGCTCCCATTGGTTGTTCTTAAGGAGAGGCAGAACTTAATCTGTCCATCACACCTTCCTTGTGGCCACTACATCAGCAGGCTGAGTGTCAGAGCTTTCCACTCTCTCTAAAGCAAGAGTTAGGCTTGTTCCAAAAGGACTTGGTGATCCTTAGGATAGATCCCTGCTTTGTACCCACTTTGTACTCATCCTTCTGTAAGGATCAAGGAATCCACCTGCCATCCCTCTGTCCTTGTCTAGGACATCCCAAGGAGAAGGAATGGCACAAACTGGATGTGAGGAGGGCACTCAGGACTTACATATGATGCATGTGGAATCCTATGGAACCACAGACATGCTGTTTGTCTCCTTCAGTCTATCTCTCATGAGGACTAAAGTAGTCCCCCATTATGTGGTATATCAAAGCCTGTATCATGTTAGCCTATGAGATCCAGCACTTACTGTTCCTAAAGGTGTCACAGTACACTTCTCCAGGACAACAGCCCCCTTTGCTGCCTTTTCCACCAATGCTGCTATCACAAATCTGCAGGGCAGCAAACACCTGGACATTGGCCTTTACCTTTGTCAGGCATTATAAGGTGAACACCTACTGTCTGCAGATGCAGCCTTTGGCAGGAGAGTTCTATAGCAGGCGGGTTCCCAGTAATTCCTCCTACACGCTATATGCTTTATAAACTACTTAACCAGGATGACACAGCTTTTCAGCAACCCATTTCAGGTTACCTTCCTTCACTGATGGAGAATGAAACACTGTACTTACCATGAGGGTTTCTTCTCATCAGTGCAATGGGAGGTATCCCTTCCCTCCCACAAGGAAGGAGTAATTCTGGATGGGAACTTCATTCCTTCAAGGGGTCATATTTATCTTGCAAATTCATGAAAATTTGCCTTAACTCAGAGCTTTGCAAATGTGAATTGGGGCTTTACCCCCTGGGCCTGGAAGCACTGCAAAGATTATTTGCATAGCCCTGTCAGTGGAGTGAGGAGAGGTATAACCCATTTCAGAATATTTTCCATTCCACTGAGGAGGAGAAGCCCTCACAGTAAGTCCAGTGTTTGAATCTCATAAGCAGAGAGAGTTTATAATGGCATTCACAGTCCAAAGATTTTGATAGCCTGAAGATCCTGTTAGGTGAGGTGAAGGATGTGTTTCAGAACACAATGGCATTCTCTTTTTCTCCATCCAGTTTTATGGAATAAAACCTGAACTTTATATGTTCACATTTGTGAAGACATCATTTGTGAAGACAACAGTGTGGTGTAGTGGCTAGAATGTAAAACTAGGAGCGGGAAGACCCAAGCTTAAATCCTTACTCTTTTGTGGAAGCTTGCTGGGTGACCTTGGGCCACTCAGACACTCTTAGGTTAACCTCCCTCATAGGGGTTGTCATGAGGAGAAAATGGGGGAAACGAGAACCATGTAAGCTGCTTTGGGTGTAAATGAAATAAATAATCTTGCCTCATCTGAAGCATTAGTTGTTCACCACAGAGAAAAGATGTTTGACTGATACATTCAAATGTGCTGGCACCACAAGTAAACCCAACTGCCATGTACTCACATGTTAACTGAGTCCCATCTCTCTCCATGGCTTAGATATGTAGAGGAGAAACTCTCTACAATGGGAATATCCACAGATTATTTAGCCCCCTTTTCAGATAAACAAGTCTATGCTATGCTACGCCCGCTTGCGGGGAGAGTGGGGTAAAAATACCTAAATAAATAAATAAATTATTAAACAAAGATTTCTAGACATCGAAAGGCAAGAACTTACGGAACGCATAGCCAGCAGATGCTCCCCAGGCAGGTTGGGGACCTTTGACATGGGCTCTGCTGCGAAGTATCTGTCAAGTTTAACAGCCCCACATCATTGCAGAGCATACATGCTTGCACGCTTTAATGTTCTGCCATCAGAGTTGCTTTTAGGGAGGTACCGCCAGATACCATATGTAGACAGACTTTGCCCTTGATCTGTAAAAGATAGAGAAACCACTACACACACCATACTTCATTGCCCTCTTTATAGGGATATCCGATCTTGTTTTATTACTCCACTTCTAGAGGGTAAGAGCTGGCATTCTGATGACTCAATTGTTCACTTTCTTCTGTTCCATTCTAATTGTGAAATAATGGAGGCTGTTGCAAAATTTTTATATTATGCAATCAGAAGACGAGGCTTGAATAGCCAAGTGTGACTGATGCATCTTAGTATTTTCCCGTATTTCCATGATGTTTTGTGCTTTCATGCCAATAAAGGATTTGTGTGTGTGAACTGCCATGTAGGTCCTGGAGGATATGTGGAGAAAGTGAGAGCAGTACAGTGCATCTCATGCATGGGACCTCTGATGCGAGCCACTAGCAGGTTTATCAGAGGGAAGAACTATATCAATGTGACCCTGTTACTAGGGCATTCTGACTAAATGACTCTGTGTTGATAATCTGCGGTTGGTTTTTAGGGATTTATTTCCCACTCTCATTCTCATTCTCTCTCTCTCTCTCTCTCAATTAAGGTATTACTATGATGGGGACATGATCTGCAAAGTACAAGGCAAGAGATTTGTGTACAAGTTTGTCTGTGACTTGAAGACTCTAATTGGGTACAGTGCAGCAGAGTTAAATCGGCTGGTCACAGAATGCGAACAAAAGAAACTGGCAAAGATGCAGCTCCACGGCATTGCACAGCCAGTTACAGCAGTCGCACTGGCCACAGCATCACTGCAAACGGAAAAAGATAACTAAGCACCAGATCTGGAAAGCTTGGAAGCATGAGGCCTTTCTTGTATACTGAGCAGTTTCTGGTCTTTAAATGGAAGTGACTTCTGTTCCTTGGCAGTTCAATGATGCATGGTTTTTCTATGAAGAACTGAGACGCCTATGAATTTGGATCTTTTTCACTTAAAGGCATATATTTCATGTACAGTCAGGGCACTTCACAGTTTCCTTTACATGAAGACAGACCTTTTTGTGGCAAGTAGTCCGGGATTGGTAAGAAAATCTGAAATTGGTGGTTGTCATGTCACACCCTGCTGATAATTTCCAAGCATTATACAAAAGTGAAGCATCTATACAACATAAACTAGTTAATATGCTGAATTTTATTTTCTGTATTTCTTTTTTTCTCAAACAGCCAGATGGAATGTAGTATTTCCATATGTAGGGCAGGCTTTTGTTAACCATGGTAGTCATTGCCTAAGCATGCAAAGTTGTAAAAAATTTTTAAAAGCACTATGATGCTAAGGCAGTTTTTCTGTTCATTAGCAAAAGAAGGGAAACAAAGGCAGAGCTGAAGATCACTGCTGAGAAAGAGATCCAACTTTAAGCTCAACAAGGTCAAAAACCAATTATGAGTATTTTGATATAACATGTAGATAACATGCACGTATGAGGGAAAGTGCTTAACTATCTTGAGAGACATTGCTAAGCATATCTGGCACACAAAAAATGGTTTTCCACATTTTTCCTGTTGGGAGATTAAAAACTTGAAATATTGTCTCTCATCCAAAGAATAGGTTTGGTTTTTGTTTTAACCTACCCTACAGTATACATTAGCTGGTGCTGTTTATACTTGCAGTGTGGTAGACTTTGAACTGAAGACTTAAGTTAATCACAGAGACCCCTTTCTGTTGAAAAACAAAATGTAAACTGCAGTTAAATTAATAAATGAAGTTTAACTTCCCAAGGTTTATATAGACTTTGATAATTAAAATACAGAAAAGTGCAGTTTTTTCCTTTTAGTTACTTTGTTTTCAAGTTGTTGTTTTTGGGGGGCTTGGAAATAAAATAGTGTGTGTTGAGAGTAAACAATACCTAGTTCAGTAATTAGATGCATTTTTAAACCTGATACCTAGAAAATCCAAAGATGCCTGAAATAGTGCTTTATGTGTTTTTCTTTGTTAGGATCTTTTAAATTCCACATAAAGCCTGGACAATACATTTTGGATTTTTTATCTCTTCCCTTTCATTTGTGTGATATAAATACTATGTTCTAAATGTATGCTTTTCACTGAATTATCGTAGAAGAACAAACTTATTGGGATGAGTTGTGGCATTACCTAACAATCAGTAAAAATGTGGATCAGGAGCTTCATCCTTATGAATGCTCCAGAGTCAAATGTTCTAAAGTCTGTCAGAGTAATACAGTAGTAAGCACTAAATATAAAACATGGCTTAGGGTATGTCAGGCAACAAGTACAGTAACATTAAGGAATCTGTCAATTTCCAAGTTTCTAGCTATACTTGTTTATCTTCAGAACATTTAGGAATGTTAAAATTCATATAGGCAAGATTAGATTTTACATTTTGGGTGATAACCCTGTGCCCATTAATACAGTTCAGTCCAGTGGGTGAAACTTTCTGTATTTAATAGAACATAGGCTTCCAGTTTAAGCTTCACTCGTTCTCAGTGCTATTCCTAAAACTGTGTGAGAATTTTGTTTGAGATGAGAGATAAACCTGCTTTAATTATATAGCAAGAATTGCTATAGCAAGAATCAATGCGTAACAGGGATATTGGCATAAAGCAAAGTAGTGACTATACCTGAGAATATGACCTCCAGAATTGTTTATGCAAAACAATGGAAGATAAGTAGGTTCACTGAAAGGAAGCTTAACTCACCTTACTGGTTCAACTTTTAAAAATGTGTTTGAAATATTCCAAACATTGATTTTTTTTTCTTTGTGAAAGAGGTGGCCTGTTAATATTGAGGGAGGTCAGATTGATCACAAATACCTGCATAAATGCTATACTAGATACGCTCTTGGCTATGCACATACTAGAATAAGCCATATTAGGAAACATGGCATATGGCCTTTCTTTTATATACATTGGATTTTGTTTTCTAAACTTTAGATTTTCATTATCTCCTTTATAGGTTTGCTGCACTTCTTACAATATTTTCCCCATTTATAGAGTACTAATGTGCTTTCAGAACAGTACATGCTTGTCAAGTTTCTTGTGGGGACAATCTGTGACTAATTTGAGATCTTCAGTAAGAGGTATGGATTATAGTATGTTTGGTGGCATTGTGTGACTGTCGGAAGAAAAATATAGACAATATATTCCCAATTTTTGTAAGATGGAGGGGTTTTGCATACATTTTTACTCTTTACAGACACATACTCTGCTAATTATGTATTTCTTTTGTGTTGAATTTTTGGTAATTTTACATGAAACAATTATTTTCTATTTTTACTCTAAAATATTTGTGCATAAAATTGTCAATATAGTAAAGTAAGAAAATAAAATTTTACATAGTATAAAGTCTGGACTTAATATTTTGAAATGCTGCGTACATTTATAAAAATGTTACTAATTTTAGTATGCACAGTAGATGCAGTATGTAATACAAGAAGAAATTACAGAAGCTTAAAAATGTAGTCTGCTTAATTCTACGATTTATGGTTTTCTAAATTCATCAAGCCCATGAAATATATTGTATTTGACTTGGATAATCCAGAATGGGTGGATACTATGAAAATACTGTCCAGTAATAACAATGTGAATACTTTGTATGTGAAAAACCACCACCATCCCTCTCTGGAAGAAGACTTGAGTGGGTGTGGTTGCCAATTTAAAGCCGGTTACTCCTGTGAATCTCTTTTGTGGCATACAGTTAGGAGCTCAATAGGAATACATCTGGAACCGTTTGGTGGAGTGGTTAAGAGCAGTGGACTATAACCTAGAAAACTGGGTTTGATTCCCCACTCCTCCGCATGCAGCCAGCTGGGTGACCTTGGGTCAGTCACAGTTCTCTCAGAGCTGTTCTCTGAAGAGCAATTCTCTCAGAGTTCTCTCAGGCCCACCTGCCTCACAAGTTGTATGTAGGGAGAGGAAAGGAAGGAGATAGTAAGCTGCTGTGAGACACCAAGTGAAGAGTGGGGTATAAATCCAACTCTTCCTCTTCTCCTCCTCCTCTTCTTGATAAGTGTTTGAATTTATGTGGCTCTACATATGCATCTCAATATTGGTGCTTCTTCATCCCCCTCCACACAAGGAACTGAGATATGATTATAAGGTCATTGTGTTTGAGATCATACAATCAAGCTTACCACCTGCTGAAAGAAATCGAAATTAACAAGGTCTGTGGTCAACTCACCATTTTTAAAGGGAAAAGCCAAAACAATATGTAAAAATTTTATAATTGACCAGAAAAGAGGCAGGGCAAGAGTTGTTCTAAGGTTAATGTGAAGGATTGTGCCTTTCTACAGATTTGAGCTTTTAAGTGAAAGCTTCTGTTTCTAAGGAGCTGAGGGCAAGCAGTAGTTCATCACAAAATTCGGTGTGGATTGTAACACTAATGGGATACTGACTAGAGGTCTCTCTCTCATCAACCTTTTGGTGAGCTCTGAACTGGCAGTGACTGACCAGAAAAGAAATCCTGAGGTCATGGGGGATAGTTCAATATTTAATGCCCTTCAACAAGGTAGGCTGTATTTGGCATAATATACAGTTTTAGATGCCATATCTTTAGTGTAGAACTGGAAAAGGTACAGGAAAGGGGTTGAAATTCCTTCCTATGAGGAAAGGCTAAAGATTGGGGCGGGAGGGAGGGGTCAGCGTAGATGGCTATGTGGGACATGAAGGTTTATAAATTCATACATGGTTTGGAGAAAGTAATTAGAGGTTTTATCCCTCTGCCAAAATTCTTACGTTTTGGAGCATTCAGTGAAGTTGGTAGGCAGTACATTCTCGACAGGCAACGCAAAATGCTGGGAATTCTGCAGTATTAACCTCATGACTACAGTTTATTCTTTTCTGTCGCTTATTGCAAGCACTCATTCAAATGGTGGATTCTATTGCAGCCAGCTAATGAAAACCTCTGCAGTGCACTCAGTATAGCTCTGATTTACAAGTTCTCTACAGGTCTGTTCTCAGAGGCCTAGTGAATCATCCTGGCTACCAGGAAAAGTGAGTAACTGCACATACTAGCCTATCTGCTCTATTTAACTTGATGTCCTTCATTCTGGTAGTGCAGCCATTGCCTAGCAGTGGCTGCAGCAGATCAGATTTTCTTATTAGTCCATCATTGTTCTTTCAAATGAAGTGTCCTCTGAAACAGAGAAATGGACAATTTTCTGAAAGCTAGAGAGCACTGTTTGGGTTGAAAGGTTTCTGATAGCTAATGAACAATATTTCCAGTGTTCTCTTTAGAGAACCTTATAAGACAATGAGATGAGGAAAGATTGCATGAAGGATGTTTGTATACCTGCTGCTTCAATTCACATCCTGTTTATTTACTCATTAAAATAGTTATATCCTATCTTTCCTTGTGGAATAAACCCCCAGATACATACCTCTCAAAGATTCTTGAAGTTGGTATCCCATCAAAACCTTACAAATAAAATGGCCTGAAGAGTGTTGATAATGGTATTCCCCCTCACTTCCTCAGGGACCTTGGTCCACAGAACTATAATGATAAAGGAACAGGTTCTGGTTAACACCAGGTGGGCTACCATAAATGGAACAGCTAGTGGATAGCAGCTAGATGACCATTGTTAGTGCACAAAGCCATATGAGAGAAGACTAGATATGTGGTCCCTAGGTTGGACTCTGAAACAAACTGACAGCCAATGTAGTTGTTTTAAGAAGAGGCAAGGTAAGTTCCCATTGACGAGCTCCTGATAATAATTGTTCTGCCATGTTCTGAAACAGCTGCAGTTTCTGGCTGGTCTTCAAGGGCTATTCAATGCAGAGCACACTACACTAATCCCAACCGCATGGATACAAAAGCCTGGAGTAGTGTTGGATGGATTGGCTGAGCTGAAGAAAAGATAGAATTAGTGAACTAGAGGCAGCTAATAATAAAAAGTAGAGGTAGCTACTACATCAACCTGCTTTTTCAAAGCCAACTACATTCCAAGACTTAGAGTGATTGGATGCACTTGTCTTGGAATGTAGTTGGCTTTTGCAGACCACGTTAAGAGCTTGGCAGTGCCCATGAGCTCACCCTTGCTATTGAAAAAGCAGGTTGAAGACTATAAGAATTTTCCAATCAGCATAATCTCTGACTCATCCAAATTCAGATTCAATTTGTTCTGCCTTAACCACTTGTCCACAGTCTCAAAGCATCAGTTCACTGAAATCCATGGCATCCATAGTTCACACCAATGCTCCCTCTAAGCTGTGGAGTCTTGTGAGCAAAAATTCTACTTTGTGAGCTACTGATATTAAAGTTGTGAGTGAGTGATTTGGCTACTGCATAAATTAGTTTGCTCTGGAGCCATCCTTCCTGAGCTAAGACAAAAAAGTGTGAGCTGGAGGCTAAAAACATGTGAGCTAGCTCACACTAACAGCTTAGAAGGAACACTGGTTCACACTACTACATTCTTTCAAGTGAACAGAAGCAGATACTCACAGGCTGTATTCAGAAGGCACAAGAAACCATGGGATGTTTTACCTGTAGTTTCTACAATGGATTGTGGTTAGTCTACCTGGTTAACTTGTCTTCTTTTTGTTGTGAGCCGCCCTGAGCCCGTTTATGGGAAGGGTGGGATATAAATTGAAATAATAACATTGTCTTCCAGCAGAGAGGACATACTCCTAATACTGCCAGACACAAGGGGTGTTGTTACTCAGAAAATTATGACTTAAGAATTCAGACATAACATATCACAGCACAAATGATGATTAATGTGCCTGCTACAACCCTAGTTTAACATTGTGAGAGGAGAGTTGAGCCTTATACAGCAGGCTGCTATGTTCTGGCTACTTGTGGAATACATTCAAATTGAGGCTTGTTATTTAGAAACAGAAGTCCTTTATTGTAAGTTCAGTTTCATTTATTATGGTCAAAGACCAGCAGAATCAGGTATAAAAAATCAAACTGGACATGCCAGCAAGACAATTCTAAAAGTTTTAAAAGTATATGTTGTTGTTGTTCAGGTTGCACAGTCAAGTCTGACTCTTCACAACCATTGTCCTCCGGAGTTTTCTTAATGGGGTTTTCTTGGCAAAGATACTGGAGTGGGTTGCCATTTCCTTCTCCAGTGGATCACGTTTTGTCTGAGCTCTCTGCTGTGGCCTGCCCTCCATGGCATAGACCGCATCCTCATCGAACCACGCAAGTCCCCTTGCCACGTCAAGGCAGTGATCCATGAGAGAATTAAAAGTGTGTATGTATGTGTATGTGTGTATATATATACACAATAAAATGCAAACCTAGAAAATATGGTTCAGTAAATCATCTCTGTACCTTGATAAACTCTGGCAGCTGCACAAAATCTTGCAACTGCATCAGAGGTTCCGGGCTCAAGGTCAGCAAGAAGAAAGGAGTTGTGCCTTTATTTATTTATTTATCTGTTGCCTTTATTTGTACCTTTATTTATTTGTTCCTGCAAGCGGGCTCAGGACACGTAGCATCAGAGTTACAAATATTAAAATCATTGTCAAAGCAAACACTTAAAACATTCAATTTAAAACAAAATTAAGTTAACTAAAGATGGCAACATATATTTACATAATAGCCCCAACAGCTGGATAGATGGTAACCAGGAGTCACCGCACATGAATGATACCGAGACTCCGTGTAGGCAGATATAATAGGGCTGTTTTCTGCAGAGCCAGATGGTTGGATGTCCATTGCCTCAGCAAAAGGCCTGGCAGAACAACTCCATTTTACATGGCCTGCGGAAGATTTTTTTGATCTTCCTGGAATTTTATGGAGAATAGGCTGACTAAAGGTGTATCTGAGGTCATTGTAAAATGGGCAACGTAGCAATACAAGTCCAACTGTTTCAACTTCCTAAGTAGCCCAGGGGCATAAATGCTTGTGTAATGGAATATTATGGTACCTCCCTTCGAACAAGGCAGATGGGAGAGCATTAAAACAGGCCAGAGTAAAAGCTATTCTGTGTTTGGGGATCAGCAGATTAGCCAAATAATTTGACAGCTCCAATTTCTTGTTCCTAAGGTGATGGTATTTTGCAATGTCTATGCCAATAAAGGTTGACTGACTGACTGAATTTTGCAGTGGAACTCGTGTGGTGTTGGAGTTGGATATCCCAGATTTCTTGCTTAATTCCCGATTTAGCTTTTGAGTACTCCAAGTAGAAAAGAGTAAGAGTCCAGTAGCACCTTAAAGGCTAACAAAATATGTGGCAGGGTATGAACT